TGGTCTCCCAGCCCTCGGACATCATCCACCTCCCGTGATCTTTGTTTTCCGTTGTTGTTGATTTTTACTAACCAATAAACCTTACTCTTCTACTTGTCTTGGTCACAGTTAAAGGTCACTCCCACGTCGCACAACATAAACTTATCTATCTTACACTACATGGGGGCCGAACCAAAGCGACGATACGAGTAACTGATAACTGTGCAACGAAGACAAGTAAAGGGTAAAAAAAAAGAAGGTATTGGTCTCGAGGATCGACTCCGAAGGCAAAAGGAGCCGAAACTATAGGATAGCTGTGGAAAGAGGGAACCCACAGAAGGAATTCAGGTCAGTCAAAAGATGGAGAAAGAAGTCATGACGGGGGAAAAGAGCCAAGTACCCCAGGAATTAGTCACTTCAGTAGATGGGACAAATAAAATCGAGGTCGTAGAGCAGGATTTCGAGGTTTGCTTGCAAATATTGCGGGGGGCTCAAGAAAGAGCAAACGAGATCTTGGGGAAGTCGAGGCTTTCGAATCAGGCTAGGGCCGATATGGAAGGCGTTTGGATAAGAGTCACTGAAGAGATCGAAGATCTCTGGAAGCGAAAACTAGCAGGAAAAAGCCTGCCTCCATTCTTAGAAAAAGAAATTATGGAAACCCTGAAGCAAAGAGAGGATCGAGGGGGTGGAGGATTGGAGAGAATACTTAAGGACTATGGAGCAAGATGGCGAAGTGATGGCAGAAATTTGTGAGGTACTGGGCACGGATGTGCTGCATGTGAAGAAAAGAATTGCTGCTCTTCTGAAGCATGGCGAGCGTGAAGGAGGGGCACAAGGCAGCAGGGGTCAACCAAGCGTACCAGTGGACGAGAGACACACCGTTCAATTGCAGACAGTGCCGTCAGTGGGACAGAGGTATGGCGATACCTGGGTACGTTCTCCGTCGCTGGGTTCGACCTTGCCGGCTGGGGAAGTGCGCGATGCGTCAGTATCTCAGGGCGTACTGACATACCTGAGGTCAATGGCGTGTGTGGACCCTGGAAAGTTCACAGGTGCCGCAAATGAGAACTTCGAAGAGTTTGTGAGAAGATTCAGACGGAAAATATGAGAAAGTTATAGGATGCGAAGCAACCCTCATGGAGATTCTTGGAGACGATCATCTTGGGGGTCGAGCAAAAAGTGTGTTCGCAGCCCTCCCCAGAACCACTAAAGAGCAGGGCCTAGATGTGGTCATTGGAGAAATGGCCAGATTACTGTCGCATGAGTCGACGGCAGGAAGGATGAGAGCGCTCACGGAGCTCAGGAACCTAAGAATGAGACCCGGTCAGGAGGTAGCCGAGTTCTGTATTGTTCTAGAAAATTTGGGAGACGGGCCAATCCAGACTGTACGATTGAGGAACGGTCGTTAGAGTACGCTCAAATTCTTCTAGACAGTCTTAGTGATTGGCCAGAACATTTTCAACTGGTAGGAGCTCTACATAGAGTGGAGCCCCATAAGGCGTATGAGGAGATCAAACAACTAGCACTAAGCATTGAGCAGTCTAAAATTATGTTTGGAGTTGATAGGAAATCAAGTGGGGTCCGGTGGAAAAGCAGGGCCACACATTACCGTGGCCGTGATTATGGAGGTACCGCAGAAGAGACGGAATCTCCCCACGATACGGTGGAGTACGTCAGGGAGGAAGAGACGGCCATCCCAAGAGAAAGAGGCTGGCAGAGCGAATACCAAACAGCTTCAAACATTCGTAGCGTACCTGAGAGACAGACACAGCACACTACGCCGATTCAGCATGGGTACGAGCAAGGGGGTACCGGAGATAGGAAATGCTACAAATGTTCGAGGTATGGCCACATAGCCAGGAACTGCCCTCAGCCTTCAATAAGAGTGAACCATGTTAGAAAGCAGGATAGCGTTGAGAAGAAAACATTGTCAGGAGATCATTAACCAAGCTCGCAGTCTTGGAATGAGAACCAAAAGGGAAAGTGGAAATGCAGATGAGTTAGTAGGTGGTCGATTCGTAAAAGAATTGAGTATGCTGGGTGGTAGTTATCCAGCTCTAATCGATACAGGATCGATGATTAGTGTGGTACCCGTAAATATTTTAGCAAAAGCGCAGGATAAAGGAGTGAATGTGGACGCGCTGAGACTGGTAGAGAACTCTCAGCTCACGCCAGTCTTTGACGCATCGAATAAGAGGATGGCGTTTCTGGGAGCGGTATACGTTGAGGCCGAGTTGGAAGGAGGGAATCCGGGCCTTGTGCCGTTTCATATTAGCCCAAGTAGAAATGACGAGATCATACTGGGAACTAATGCCCTTAGTAAATTAGGAGTCAAAGTGTCCGTACTTGGGAACAAAGAAGAAGATGGCAGAGGGCATCAAAGCGAAAAGAGGACGACAGTAGGGCGCATATACGTGCCATCGCGCAAGGTAAACCGTGTGTCAAGGCAGTGCGAAAGGGATGCCGTAAAGTTGAAGGAGTTTCTCGAAAAAGCAGAGGAGGGTTTGCACACGGCAGAGTCTTCACACCCTCTCCGCAGGAAAGAGCCATGGCGAGACGCAGAAGAGGACACAAGAGTGGAGAAAGTAAACTACAAGTTGGAAATAGTTTCAAAGAACCAAAGGGAGAAACTGCGTCTAAAAATTGCAGAGCGCAACCATGGATGCTTGAAGGAAAAAGTTTTCTACAGAGTCGAATTGCCACGGCCAGGCGTCAAGCGGTCGATGAGGGCATCGACTTCAGCGAGGGGGGGCATGTCAGAGATTGATATGCCGATCAAAAGATCAGCTGTAGATCAGCTGATCTGAGCGGTATATCGACAAGAGGTGGTAGGAGTTGATCGCGGGGGGTCAACTCTGCCAGAGGGAAACAACTCGGGCGGGAAGGTCCTAATAAAAGGGGTCCGGTTCCCTATGCGGCACTCACTGTTCCAGTTCCAGAGCTCCGGTGTTCCAGAGCTCTGGTGTTCCTGCGTTCCTGTATCCAGTTCCAGTGGCATCTGTGTGGTGCCTTATCGGTGGTTGGTTGGAGCTGTACGGCCCGTAGGAAGGAGGGCCTAGGCTCAGGAGAGGTAGCCTTTGTGGCGTTGCGAAGAGAGCCTCAGTGGCTCGTCAGAGAGGAGCCTTAGTGGCTCATTGGCTTGGCCTCAGTGGCCTGGAAGAAGAGCCTTAGTGGCTCGGTGAATTGGCCTTAGTGGCCTGTTGGGAAGAGCCTTAGTGGCTCGGTGGAGATAGCTTTGCGGCTCACCATAGAGAAGGGATTGCGCCGTGCACCTGGTTGCCGACCTCGGCTCGGTGGTCCGGTCCCATCGATACAACCCGCCTCCGATCGCCCCGTGATCTTTGTTGTTTGTATATTTATTGTTGATTTTTCTGATCTAAATAAACCTTCCTTTCTACTTGTCTCTAGCGCAGTTTGAAAGGGTTACTCCCACGTCGCAGCCACGAATCCATCCTACACTACAGGTAGACAAGTAGGATTATAAAGAGGTGCTTGGATCCCGACTTATATCCTTTTTCGAGAAGCCAGCGTCACAAAACACTTGTTTTGCAGCAAGCCCAAGGGGGTCCCCTACACGTATTCCATTTGGGAAGGGCAAACGCGAGGGTTTCGGGTGCTGGATTGGCTGGCGTATTCCTCAGACCACATCGTTATTGAAAACGTAGTGGGATAGTGGTTCACTGTTTCTGCGCCATTAGAAGATAAAGTAGTTCCCCAAGTGACCTAACAATTGCTGAAATTAGCTGCGAAAGAGTTCGACGAAGCAGGTATCGGGAGCAGAGTCAACCCTGCGTTGCGCAGTTCTCAACGGCCACGTTGCGCAGTTTCGCCCGATTAGACACGTTCTCTCGCGCGAACATTCACACTCGCATGCTCGAGCCGTCTGTGTCTCCGCCCATACAGCGTGCGTTGAGGATCTCTCAACGTGCCGTTGCGAACTGCGCAACGCAGGGTTGACTCTGGTCGGGAGCCTGGTTCAAAACATGCCGAACAAAATGTTCACTTATCAGAAACTTTGTTCTGTTTTTCGAAAAGTGTCCACATATTTTGATACAGGGTAAGTTTTCCGATAAATTAAAAAAATTTAAAGCTGCATGTAAAACGGTGAGAAATGAAAAAATCTGAGGTTATCCGTATCCAAGAAAGCGAATATTGGTGAAAAATAATAATAA